TGAGAGGCTGAGGCAGGTGCATCACTTGAGGTCAGGAGTTTGAGACCATCCTGGCCAACATGGTGAAACCCCGTCTCTACTAAAAACACAAAAATTAGCCAGGCGTGGTGGTGCATGCCTGTAATCCCAGCTAATCTGGAGGTTGAGACAGGATAATTGCTTAAACTTAGGAGGCAGAGGTTGCAGTGAGCAGAGATCGCACTACTGCATTCCAGCCTAGGCGACAGAGTGAGACTTTGTCTCAGAAATAAAATAAAATACAAAAAATTAGCCGGGCATGGTGGCGCACACCTGTTGGGAGGCTGAGGCACTAGAATTGCTTGAATCTGGGAGGCGGAGGTTGCCATGAGCCAAGATTGCTCTACTGCCTTCCGGCCTGGGCGACCAAGCGAGACTCTGTCTCCAAAAAAAAAAAAAAGACCTAAGTAAGTTAAGTGCCTGGTTTAGAGAAACACAGCTAGATAGTCATGATTTCTGATCAAGTGTGGAGAATGAGTTCATTCTGAGGACAGACAAGGCCTAATTATGTAAGGCTTTGGTATGTTTTCAAGCACTGCCAAAAGGCCACGTTTAGGAGTGATAGTTTGGCAATACAACATACACTCAAGGCAGATGACAGGGTACGAACACAATGCAGCAGGAAGAAAGCTGGACATACTGCTATTAAGATAAGTAATATAAGATAGTGAGTAGTTAAGGTGAAGTGCCATGAATGAGTTACAGGTATACAGAGAGACTGACCCCCACAACCCCATAGCCCTAAGGGCAGTTAGGTGGGGCCTGAACCTGAAAGATTCCCTGGGCTGGTTACAACTGTGATGACAAACTTAAATCAGGTGGTGTACAAATAGCAAATTTCATCAATTCTTAGATAAGTATTTTTTCATATTTACATCAGGAATTATAGTGAACATCACATCAGATGGCTTCTTATTTATTTATTTATTTATATTTATTTATTTTTTTTGAGACGGAGTCTTGCTCTGTCGCCCAGGCTGGAGTGCAGTGGCAGGATCTCGGCTCACTGCGAGCTCCGCCTCCTGGGTTCACACCATTCTCCTGCCTCAGCCTCCCAAGTAACTGGGACTACAGGCGCCTGCCACCACACATAGCTCATTTTCTGTATTTTTAGTAGAGACGGAGTTTCACCGTGTTAGCCAGGATGGTCTCGATCTCCTGACTTCGTGATCCGCCCGCCTCGGCCTCCCAAAGTGCTGGGATTACAGGCGTGAGCCACCGAGCCTGGACTCAGATGGCTTCTTAAAGTGACAGTTAACCAGGGCAGCAGTCATGACTCAGTTGTTTTTGCGGGTGCATGCATGAACTGCTTCATAGCTCTTCTACACTTCTATAGAGTTATGAGTATTGTTTGCTCTATATTTACTATGTTTAATTGCCATTTATAGCACAATAGGGTGACTATAGTCAATAATAACTTAATAGTACATTTTTAAAATAACTTAAGGAGTGTAATTGGAGTGTTTGTAACTCAAAGGATAAATGCTTGAGGGGATGGATACCCCATTCTCCATGATGTGCTTAGTTCACTCTGTATGCCTTTCATGTACCCCATCAATATATATACCTACTAAGTATCCCCAAAAGTTAAAAAATAAAAATTTAAAATATTGACATTTAAAATGTCTTTTAAAAGACTATGGTGTAATTTGGCATAACACAAAGTTACTGGGTATGGAAATAAGCATTTCAAAACAGAACAACAGGTTGCAAACTTGCACTGGTGAGGCAAATATGGACTATTGGAGGAGTAGCCACAATTCTGTGTATTCTTGCAAAGCAACCAAATAATTTACAATTTCTAAAAATGGTGGATAGCTTTGAGTAGATAAGTTACTCAAGTTGCTTATTTCACTTTAAGGTTGGAGAAATCACCAAATCCCTCAGAATATAAGAAAAAACTGTATCAGGATGAAAGAACAGTTTTTGAGTCACAAGTACTCTTGTTAAGGCATCAAACGTTAATTTGCCAAAAACTTCCTGCTGTCTTTGAATAGAAGCTATTAAATTTCCAAAGATGTATGATTCAGCAGTTGCTGCAAAATGTAACTATATGCTTAGTCAGGTAGGAAATAGCGATAAACCTTTACATGCTTTGACAACCATCAAAATTATACTGTCCATGCTAAAGGTACTAAAAGTGCATGGATTTATGTAAATAAGTGGCGTGACACTATGACACTGTGCATAGGCATGCCACTACATTTAACTGAAAACTGTAAAATATTTAATAAAATCTTCTGTGATGATATTGTGCATACTCACAAGAAGGGGATGCACAATGTTTTAGTTGGTGATCTAGTTGCCGTGAACACTGAATTAGCAAATACTAAATCATTGCTTCTAGGGGAAATACAGGTTAGGTTTCTGTGAGCCTGTGGTCACAATATTTTCATTAGATAATCAATACATAACCTTGTTTTTTGTGCATTTCTATTTAAAAAAACCTTATGTAATATATATTGTTGATTCATTAGCACTGAATTACAGCCAACAGCACTGTAAGTGAAAACCTGAACAAACCTTATCTAATATTTGTATTTCTCTGTAAGGCACATGAAAGCCTTCTTGGACTTGGGATCACTAAATAGCAGTTGAGCACTATGCCTGGGGGCTATTTTAAACATTGAATTCACTGACAAAAATCTCAAAAATGGGAAAATGAGCATTAAACAGACCATCGAGAGGACACCTGTTTCCAGTATAAGAGCTGCAAGAAGAAGGCAGAGTATCACCTTGCTCAACCTTGGCTGGGAACTAAAATTTTTTACCACCCTGTGAATATTTGTGAGTGACCATGAGAACTCTGTAAGTACAGATTTAGGAATTACCAATAAATTTTAGCAAGGAGTTCAAAATGCAAAACCCATAAATAATGAGGATGGACAGAATTTTGTAAAACTTCAAAGTCATATGGCAAAGGATGTGGGTAAAGGGAAGATTAAAAAATTGGAACCAGTGATGCCCAATCTTGGGATCCGTCTCAGACTTGTTGAATCAAAATCTGCATTTCATATTCCCCAGGTGTTTCTATGCACCTCTGAGACATGCTGCCCTCAATACCATGATAGGTACATCCATACCAGACGGTGGAAGTTAAACTGTATAAACCATATAAACCGGACGGTGGAAGTTAAATTGTACAGTTTAACTCTACAAATTACAGTCCTACATTTGTAAAGGTTTTATGGGTCTAAAGGTCTGGGGTGTGCTAGGACAACCTCTGTAAGGTGAAAGACAAGTTCCTGCATCTTGCAATTCCTATTAAGAGCAAAATGGCAGACCACCTACTGGGCCTCTTTAGCTTTTGGAGATAGAATATATACTTGGGAATACAGCTTCAACACATTTATTGGGTGGTATAGAAAGCTGCCAATTTGAGTGGATCCCTAGCAAGACAGAGCTCTGTAGCAAGTCCCTGCTGGGATGCAAACTGTCTTGCTATCTGACCTTGTGTCTCAGCAGATCCAATGTGGCTAGTGTCCCTGGAAGATAAAGATGCTGTGTGAAGTCTTAAGCAACCTTAACAGGTGAAGCACAGTGCAGAACCTCAGGGATCTGGAGCAAGGCCATTCCTTTGATAGTAAGTAATTTGAAAAGCAGCCCCTGGCACGCACTGGGCCCAGGAGAGACTAAGAGTCTGGCCATGTAACTCTAGTGATAATGCAACTAAGCCCATCACAAGCTGGACACTGCCAGTTTTACCAAGCCAAAGTGTTAGGTGAGTATAGCAGCAATGCATTAGGCAGATAACGATGAAGAGGAGTTAAGGTAATGAAACACCTCTGAAGTCAAAGAACAGTGGCCAGAAGAACATGGGTGGGAGAGTTGGAAGTTTCCCAAGAAAAGCAAGCTCAGCATAATATTATCTTTTTCTGACTCCCTAACTGCTCTCTACCTGAATTTCCTCTATTAGGTGCAGAATAGTAACATGCACTCTTGCCCAGGTCAAATTTATGGAGTTATCATGGGTAACTTCTGCTTATCAAAGGCATCATCCCTTAAAACAGTATCTCTTTAATCTGTGCCTTTTTCCGTGGCTACTGTCTTAATTTTTTCAGCATTTATTTCTCACACGTTTTCCACATTATTGACAAGTGATGTTTCTGCATATCTGATCATCCCATTTATTCTTCAGATGTTTACTGAACATTTTCTATGTACCATGCACTGGGTTAGGCCGTGGATAAATAATGTGAAGAAGAAAAAAGAGACAATGTTACTGGGCTCCTGGAATTTGCAGTTCGGTGAAAAAGATACATAAATCCTGCTTAAGATCCTTCAGTGGTTCCTTGCTGTTTTCAGGAAGCCCAGATGTCTTGAGCGGGTTGCTGCTGTTTACCTCTCCAGCATCACCTCTAATCAGTACCCTTTACTCTGCAGCCACAGTGCGTTTTCCCTTCTTCACAGCACCCTCCTTTCTGCCTGAGTAAAGTCTACCATCTTTTAAGGGTTCAGTCCAGCAATCCACGTTTTCAGGAAGACTTCTGGACACTCTCTTCCCCCTTCCTCCGTAGTTCCAGCACACCTCATGCCATCACTATCATATAGGTACCACGCTTTTTATCCTGATTCTCCGTCGTCTTGTCCACTGCCTCTACTCCACAGTGAACTCAACTTTGTGTCCTCAATACTTAGTACAGTGATTTCTAGTAATCGACATTTTTTCTGTCAAATTGAATCGGATATATAGAAATACCCGCTGCCTCCCGCAAGGGCAGATAAGGCCAACCCATCACTCCTGCACCCCGACAAAGGAACAACAGCACCGTGCTGCACGGAGTCCTCTGGCCTTGCTGCCTGGCAATGGGTAGCCACCTGGGCGTCTGTCTCAGAATAGGACTCCGCGGCGCGCCTCCTAGCGCCATTGGTTGACACTGCAAGAATGGGAGGGGGCCGGTGAGCACGCGGTCCCAGACCTGCGCATGGCGCATGCGTAGAACGCGAGCGCTCGGCAAGGCTCGGCTCGGAAGCGTCCAAGCGTGAGGGGACAGGACTGTGAATTCAGATACTGTTTTTCTCCCGAAATGGGTATTTGGCTCCTATTTTTTTCCTTCTCCACAGCATCTTAATTTAAAATATGGCACTTGACCTACGGACCTGCAGGGAGTGGTTAAGAGGATGAGAGGCCAGTCAAACTCTTTTTGGTGTTTAGGCGCCCCTACTCGGGGCGGTGTGTTGGGAGGGCCCAGGTCAAGGCGCGCGTGGGCGGAAGCGGCGGCGGCGGCGGCGAAGGCGGCGGCTGTCAGAGCTGGAGGGCCGGGCACCGCGGCCATGGAGGGTCAACGCTGGCTGCCGCTGGAGGCCAATCCCGAGGTGGGCGCGCTTCGGGGCAGCCCTGGGCCGTGGGCAGGCGCAGAGGGAGCCGGCTTGCTGCCGCGAGTCCACGGTAGTTTGTCTCTAAAGCGTGTTCTCTGTTTCGTTTTCAGGTCACCAACCAGGTGAGTGAGGTGTCTGTCGCTCGGGACCTCGGAGTCCTTTCTGTCTGCTCGGTCCGCTTCCCTGCTGGACTTCACCTCCACGCTTCCAAGGATTCTGGGATTTAATTTCTTGAGGGCCCCTCTTGTTCGGCTTTACACGGGTCCGCCCCTTTCAGAAAGGGCCATCTCCCTGCCACCTGGCTCCTGGAGATGCTCCTACCACTCCTCTGGTCCCATTCCTCAGCCACCACGTATCTTGGGGACTCCGGGTCAGAGGTTTGGAGGGACTTTTACCCTGTATTCCTATTCCCCTTCCTTCTTCGTTTTGCCTCCTGTTAGTGCCGATTCCATAATTTTCCTACTGGTGTACCTTCTGGATGACTAATTTGCCCACACGTCCTGACTCCAAGCTTTGTAAACTCGCCCACCCAGTCCTTGTAATTTCATCCACCGCCTGCACTATGAAATCATCTTCCAATCATCTCTTGCCCCATCAAGTCACTTTTCTTCCCCGCCACGCCCCCTTTATCTTACAGCCTTTTAAAGCTGGACATTTAGTTGCTGTTGTATCAAAGAAAGCTCAGTTTAGTAGTTCCCACGCCATTCTTTGCAATCTACAGCAGTTTAAGTTCCTTCTAGGTGTTGGAGGTTGGGGTTTGGGGAGGGACGAGGGAACATCTCCCAGTCACTCAGAAGAACAGTAAGTGCTACCAGGTATAAACTTTTGATCTGCTCAGGTGTGCCTTATCTTACCCGGGTTTTTTTCATTCTCAACAGCTCATTTATTTTTTACTGCTCTCCTAGTTTATCATACTCCCCTTACCTCCACCATCTTCCTTCTCGCCACCAGGGAACAATTAACCGTGTTCTTAAAAAAATTGGTTTTTGGTTTTCAAAGCTTGTAGCAAATTCCCTGGACAGAGAGACATCCTTGTCTTGTTCTCTATCTTACGGAGGAAACATTTGATCTTTCACCATTAAGTATGTTAGCTTTAGGTTTTTGGTAAATGTTTTTTAAATCGGGCTAAGGAAGTTCCTCTTTTCCCACTAGTTTGCTGAGAGTTTTTCTTATGAATCTATGTTGAATTTTCGCAAATGATTTTTCTGCATCTCTGAGATGATCATTTAAGAAAGAAATAATACCAATCCTACATAAACATAGAAGAGGGGAGACGGCCAGGCGCGGTGGCTCACGCCTGTAATCCCTAGCACTCGTGCTCTGGGAGGCTGAGGTAGGCGGATCACCTGAGGTCAGGAGTTCGAGACCAGCCTGGCCGGTGAAACCCCATCTCTGCTAAAAATACAAAAATTAGCCGGGTGTGGTGACGCACTCCTGTAATACCAGCTACTCGGGAGGCTGAGACAGGAGAATCGCTTGAACCAGAAGGCGGAGGTTGCATTCAGCTGAGATTGCATCACTGCACTCCAGCCTGGGTGACAGAGCAAGACTCTGTCTCAAAAAAAAAAAAAAAAAAAAAAAAAAGACACTTCCTAACTAATTTTGTGCTAGCATTACCCTGACGCCAAACTAGACAATTCATAATAAGAAAAACTGCAAATCAGTATCCCTCCTGAACATGGATGTAAGAAATCCCCTACAAAATATCAGCAAATAGAATACAGCAATAAATATATAAAAAGAGTAACATATGACCAAGAGCAGTTTATCCTGGTGTTGCAAAGCTGGTTCACCATTCAAAAATCAATGTGATTAGCCATATCAATAGACTAAAAAAACTTTTTAGATGATGTTAGTTGTTTTAACAAACTAAGTTTGTGTAAGTAGGAACTTATGTCCTGTGATTCAGCTGCTAGTGGACCTTGTTCCTAGGGTGTCTTGAAAAATTATCAAACATATTAATATTTTAGGGGCACCTTTTTTAATACCAGTAATCTGAACAGGAGCTGGTGATTCTTTGGTGATTAAAATATTCATGGTTTTCTGCTTTTCAATCCAGTTGAAAGACAGTAAACAAGCAAACAAGTCATTAGCGTTTATTATAAGTACAATAAGAAACAGAACATAGTGCTTTGATGGAGACCATCAGGGAAAATGTAATATATGGAATAGTGACAGGAGACCTTTCTGAGATGATCTAAACAGACAATGTTATTTAGTATATGATTTTACACTATATCTGACATGCTTTGGCATGATTTAGTTTGTTTTAAATTTATTTTTTAAAGAAATAATGTGCTTTTAGTGGGAGAATGGGCAAGTATGTAAGAAGTGATTAGTTATAACTAAAACTTTTGTGGTTGTTTTATTCTCTATGTTTTAGTGGCAGAACCAAGAATAGAAGATGGATAGAAATGTAGTTAACTGACTTAGAATTTGGAGAATGAATAAACCCTAACAACAATATCCATCCCACCCTCTTTTATTTCCTCAACCTAATGGAGTGGTAGGATCTTGGACTCACTCTGTTACCATCTGGTAATTGCATGTGTTGTTGTTATAATCAGTGTGAGCAAATACTGCTTTAGACTCTGATGATGCCTAGTGTTGTATAAGAATGGCCATCACATGTCTACTACATGCAGATGAGTATTAATTGTTAGACATTAGCTAGTAACCATGTGTCTCAGCGAATGTGGTAGACAGTGATTTCTCTTGTTGGTTAGCATGCTGTCAGCCCTTTTAAGGATACTGTGTCATGCTACAGGTAGGACTTAATCAGAATAAAATGAATTAAGTGATCAAAAAAATTATTTAAACATTTTAAACTCTACTTTATTTACCTATGCATTTAAAGGGGTAAACGCAGCTTGCAGCTGATAGAAAGTTACAGATAATTAAACATCAAGAATTACAATGTTTATAGAATGTGATATAGGCAATCATTATTATTTATGACCATACTAAATCTTCATTGTGATTTTTTTTTGTGATTTGAGTACAGTACAACCACATGTATATTTTACATATTGTTGTGCTTTAGAACTAATGGTTTTTTTTTTTATATGGACCCCTTCCCAACCCAAGGATGATTATTTCTACTTGTGATTTTATTGAGGAGGCAAAATATTTTCTAGCATAATATCGAAAGGGAAATAAATTTACTATAGCATAACTATTCTATTTAGCCTGTATGCTTAGAGTTAGAAAAAGAATTAGAGATCATCTGCTGGCTTATTGCCTTAATCACAATAAATCATATAAATTCTCATAAGAATTCTTTAATTAGTAGATGCCATTTTAGGAAAAATTCTTTGTTATCCTGTCCTCCTTGAGCTGCTGCCTTATCTGTTCTCCTTCTTTGTAAACTTTCCACAAAGAATTGTTCATAGCTGCTGCCACTGCTACCTCAGCTCGCATTCTTTTCCGTATTCGTTCCTACGTAGCTTGCTTCTGTGTGTACCATTTTGTAGTAACTACTTCTGTCACGTTTACTAATGATTGCCACTTTGCGACGGTGATCACTTTTCTGTCACCATATTTCTTGGCCTTTCAGCGGCATTTGGTAGTATAGCCCACTCCATCCTTACTGAAACATTATCTTTTCTTGGTTTCTGTGATAATTCTGATTGTCCTCTACTTTCCTAATTGCTTCGAAGAGTCTCTGTTGCTAGATCATCTCCCTTCCAACTTCTAAGGAGCTCCTCAGCCGCTTCATCTTAGACTGCTAATCTTTTCTATGTGTTTTCTTGCCCTAGTAATGTTTTCTGTTGTACAGTTCTAATACCATGAGTTGTCACATAGATGACCCCATGTTCCTCGAAACCCTGACATTGCCACCAAATTGGAAATCTGTATATTCAGCCAACTCTTTGGTATCTCCATCTGGATGCCTTAAACTTAATATGGCCAAAAAAGAAATACGGATTTTCATCTTTCCATCTCTGCTCTAAACCCATTTCTTCCCTATCTTCCAAGGGCATAGCCATCCATGCAGTGTTTGAGGTGACGAGTTGATGCCATTGATTCTTCTTTTAGATTGCCATTCCAGAGAGGCTGTAGTGTCTTGATTTGATTCTTGGATTGTAATCTCTGCTTTGCTATTTACCAGCTCTGCGACCATGGGCAGTTATCTGACCTCTTTGTGCCTTAGTTCCTTAATTTCTTCCTTTCTTTTTTCCTTTTTTAAAGACAGGGTCTTGTTCTATCCAGGCAGGCTGGATTACAGTGGCACAATCATAGCTCACTATAACCTTGGAATTCCTGGGCTCAAGCAATCCTCCCACCTCAGCCTTCCAAGTAGATAGGACTACAAGCTTGCATCATCACACCCGGCTACTTTTTATATTTTTTGTAGAGATAAGATGATTTTACTCTGTTTCCCAGGCTGGTCTCAAATGCTTGGCCTCAAGCAATGAGTTCCTTCATTTCTTATAATCTTTTCTAATCTTGTAAGATCACTGTAAGGATCAAACAAATTACTACATGTAAAATATGTAGAACAATGTCTTGAACAAAGCATGCTCTCCATGAATGTCAGCTATTTTTAATATTCTGTTTCTCATTCCTCAGATCTAATTGATCTTAAGGACTCTTCTTGCAAAGGCTATTCCAAATATGACTTTTCCATTTCAGCTGCCACAGTGCAAGCCACCATCATCCTAAGCTTGGACAACTATAGTAGGCGCCTAACTAGTTCTTCTGCTTCTCCTTTTGCTTCCGTAAAATCTAATTTTCATATATACCCAAAGTGGCCTTAAATAAATGAGAATCACATGTTATGACTTCCTGCTTATCATACTCTACTGGTCTTCCAATGCTTGTGCTTAGAGTATACTTAAAACTTTTTTGTGTTTTTAAACTTTTAGCTTCAGGGGTACATGTGCAGATTTGTTACATAGGCAAACTCGTGTCACAGGGATTTGTTGGAAAGATTATTTCATCACCCAGGTACTAAACCTAGTACCTAATTGTTATTTTTTCTGATCCTCTCCTCACCCTTCACCCTCAGGTAGGCTCCAGTGTCTGTTCCCCTCTTTGTGTCCATGTGTTCTCATCATTTAGCTCTCACTTACAAGTGAGAACATGTGGTATTTGGTTTTCTGTTCTGGTGTTAGTTTGC